TTCAGGAGTTTGCAGGGGGAGGAGGGGAACAGAGAAACAGCAGCTGTAACTCAGGCAGGTGGAACTCAATCACCATTCAAAGATCTAGGCCAGCAAGAGAAGCAGGTCGCTGACTGTTTGTTTAACCTCTGAAAAGCCCATTGAAGGACACAGTACTTTAGCAGGAACAAGCGATCGAAGAGACGGTGTCACTTAGAACAGGGCTCCAACCCTACAGCAAATCTGGGGAACATTTGCATCTATTCCGATAGAAAGCAACAAGAGCCTAAACCATAGGAGCCTGCTTGGTACAAAGATCATTTTAAACACAGAGAACAGTATAGTATTAAGGCACAGGAAGGCTTGTCACTTTCTCTTGGTATTTTCATTGCCTCTCTCATTACAACATCAGCAACACTACAGGGGAAGGGCAGACAAGCCCAAAAAGGCAGTTGGCACAGCTCCACACACATTGTTTACAATAATAAAGCAGCAACTAAGAAGAGCAGTGTTTTCTCACTGCTGTGTGAGAACCGGGGCATGGTAGACACATGACCTAATCCTCCTTCAGTCATCCTTTGTGAACTTTCCCCTCCCCCTGAGATATTTCAATCCTAGGTGAGCCTCCTTTTAAATGTGTCTTTGTAGCTCACAGGTCCTGACTCCTAGGAACTTTACCCTGTCAAACTTGAGCTGGAAAGAATGTAAGTTGATGCTATGTAATGCCGATGAGAAAAGGCAGGGGCGGGACTGCTGTGCTATGGGGGGCAAGACACAGGAGGGGGTTTTAAAAAGGAGGAATGGTAAGACATGGACCCCCTTATAAAATATTTATCAGCCAAGCTTTAGAAGCTTAATGGGTGTTTACATGTCAAGCTCAGCTTTCCAAGATGAAGCCTGGCCTAGCACATACAACTGGAAGTACTCTAGTGCCCTATTTCCTGCTCAACCACTGACTTGCGTGAGCTCTTGGGCAAAACCTCTTCCTGTCCCATGCTATGCTAGTCTCGTCTAGTTAGACTGAAATTGCCTGAGGAGAAGGAGAATTGCCATGTGAGCGTGTACCATGTCAGCACCGGTGCACTGCTTTCAGGTGGAGCTGAGGCCCTCCTGGAATATAATTTAGTAAGACAAAAACAACAGGAAGCATTTCTTCACGCAACACACAGTCAACCTGGGGAACTCCTTGCCAGAAGATGCTGAACATGCATCAGGGTTCAAAAAAAGAAATGCATGAAGGAGAGGTCCTTCAATGGCTGTTAGCCAGAATGGGAAGGGATGGGGGTTTGTCAGAGGCTGGGAGTGGGTGATGGGAGGGATCACTTGATGATTCCCTGTTCTGTTCACTCCTTCAGGGGCTCCTGCATTAGCCACTGTCAGAACACAGGATACTGGCGGAGATGGACTTTGGTATGAGCTAGTATGGCCGTTCCTATGTCAAGATCACTTGTAAATCTGGGATATCTTACTCGGTGGTCATTGTTCAGAAAATGGAAATTAACAAATATATAGACAAGCCCAAGAGTTAAGTCCTTAGCCCAGATTGACTGATACTTGCACTGGACTTGTGGGAAAACGTCTCTCCTACCATGGCGGTGGCGAAATCCAGTGGGGGAGAAAGGGTGTAAGTGACCTGTCCGTAAAATAAACCCTACCCAGTTCTGAACATTCAAAGAAAAGCAACACCAATATCTCAGCACCTGACTGGAGAGTCTCTGCAAGAGCAACAGCGCCCTCTGCTGGGATAATGGCAGCATGCGCAGCAAGCAAAGCAAATCTGGGCAGTTACAGGGAATTAAGGCTGTAACCCGTTAACGAGAGGCCCAGCCATGCTGGAGCAGCTCTCTACCTGCAGGATGCCAGTTAAAGGTAAAATTTAACCTGTTAACCAGCATTTTACATCCCTGTAGGGAATCAGGGACTGGCTTGTAGAGATTTTAGTAGAAAGAGGTAGAAAAGACTAGCTACTCCCTAAATGCAGTTTAAAAATGAAGCCCATTTCAGATCATAATGCTTCCTGATGAAAGCCCGGGGACTCTAAAGGACGACACCATTTACAGAACAGCAACTGGGGGACAACTCACTTGTCTTTGCTAGAATAATATCCTCCACTGCTCTAGTGCCTCTCAGACAAGGATCTCACAGCTATAATTAACCCTCAACCTACCTGGGGAGGGAGGTGAACTATAGGAGTAGCAGCAGCTTCTAGCCTGCAGTGCAGCAGCAGCAGAGTACGCACTCACGGCTTAAGGCAGGAAAGGAAGAAATAGCCATCTGAAACAGAAGAGGGAGTTTAGCCAGGCAGAGTACAGTTACCAGAGCTGGAGTTTGAGTTTAAAAGCCGACATCTTATAAGAAAAGACCTGTGTTCTGCAATCACTATGGATATTGAGGCTCTCTCAGGCAGATGACCCTGTCCTAGAGCACAGTTCTAAGTAGAAGGTCCTGTTTCGATCCTTGGCATCACCGAGGTACTCGGAGCCAGGCTGATAAGCAGGGTATTAATGCACTTAAATAAAACAGAACTTCTTGCACCACCAGTCTGCTTCATGGAGGTCTCCCCCCAAGTCCTGACTCTGCCCAACCCGACTTAGCTGCAGGAGGCAGCGCAGCCCAGTGCCTCGGGCAATGGACTAAGTCAGGAGACCTAGGTAAGTTACTTCCCCTCAGTATCCAATTGCCCAATTGTCAGATATCGATCTTCCTCTGTACAGGGTGCGAGGTCTACAGCCAAAGTGTTATCCAGAAGAGGTAGGTAGCAATGTTAATGTGTGCGATCACCACAATGATGGGGTGGCGAGGTCATGTAACATGGGAAGGGAATTCCTTCCCCAAAAATATCACACAGAGGAATAAATCGCTGTGCAAACAGACATTTTCCTCTCCACACCTGATATGCCAAAGACTGGAAACCCAGTGCCCCCATATTTATGGAAATATATTATGCATAATTCAAATAGGATAGATGGGTAAGTAACTTATCATTCAAGAGCTTATAAGCTGTATTCTATTTGCATGCATGTATCTTTCTTGTATGTGAAGTTAAAAATATGAAGTGTAAGTGTTTATTAATTTAGGTCTTCTAGTGAAAGCCATCAATGGTACTTAACGGCTTGGTGCTCAAAGCAATGATCTGTGAATAGTCTTGTTTTTTCTATAACCCTGGACAGCGGTTGATCCTATGACGACAGGTAACCACATCCACCTAAGTGCTGTAATCCAGTTTTAATTTTGTACTCTTCCGGGGGGAAGGGAGGGAGAATTGAACAGAATTCAAAGAGTTAAAAGATGGAAAGCAATCATAGAATCAGAATACTAGGACTGGAAGGGACCTTGAGAGGTCATCGAGTCCAGTCCTCTGCCCTCATGGCAGGACCAAATACTGTCTAGACCATCCCTGATAGACATTTATCTAACCTACTCTTAAATATCTCTACAGATGGAGATTCCACAACCTCCCTAGGCAATTTATTCCAGTGTTTGACCACCCTGACAGTTAGGACCTTTCTCCTAACGTCCAACCTAAACCTCCCTTGCTGCAGTTTAAGCCCATTGCTTCTTGTTCTATCCCCAGAGGCCAAGATGAACAAGTTTTCTCCCTCCTCATGACACCCTTTTAGATATCTGAAAACTGCTATCATGTCCCCCCTCAATCTTCTCTCTTCTAAACTAAACAAACCTAATTCCTTCAGCCTTCTCTCATAGGTCATGTTCTCTAGACCATTTAATCATTCAAACAATGATTGTCTTCAGCTGGTTTCATAGATGCTCCCCATCACAAAATACCTGGAAACAAGGAACTTACAAGTAGTGGAGAAAAATAGCTAGGCCCAGCCAGAAAAAAGATCAACTTTGGCCTGAAGGACTTTACCTGGAATAGGGGTTTGGGTGAGACATAACTTCTCTACACTAGGGGAGATGTTGGAATTAAGATATGCAACTTCAGTTACATTAACTGCACAGCTTACGTCAAAGTATCTTAACTTGAATTCTGGAACCGGCCATACTGCAGCAAGTCAAAGGGAGTAACCTCATAGAAGCAGGACTCGACAAAGAGCCCTCTGTTTGAATTAGTGTGTCTTTACTAGACCTGCTAATTCGAATCCGGGAACATCAACTGTGGCTGCTCTGATCTTAATCTATAGACATGGCTTTAGGGTACACGTCTACACTGCAACACTATTTTGAAATAACTAGCATGATTCCAAAATAACTTAGTCCACGTCTACACAGCAGGAAGTTATTTCAAAACAGTTTAAAAATACTGGCAAGCTAGAGGACTTCTTAATCTTGACTCCTGTAACCCTCAATGTACGAGGAATATGGGAAGTTGGAGGAAGAGTGCTCAATTTCGAAGTGCTGGGTAGACCCTCCCTATTTCAAAATTAGCTATTTCGAAATAAGATACGCAACTGAAGTAGCTCAATTTGCATAGCTTATTTTGAGTTAAGCCCTACAGTGTATTAGGCTCAGCTTGCGTGTTTTGTTTATTTTAGATTAGTAACTTACTTAGATCTGCCTCATCAATTGCAACCACTTAAATCCCATTTTAGTACTTAATAAAATCACTTATTATCAAACCCAGTGTAATAACTTACCTGGGCAGGGGAGGAGATGGACAGCAGCTGTGCATACCTCTCTTTTCATTGATAAAGGGGGTGAACGTTGAGCTGTATAAAACTTTTCTACGGAGTAACATGGATTTATTTGGGGGTTTGGTTCTATTTGGGGCTGTGAACCTGGATACTACTAAGTCCCTATAACTGAGCCCTCCCAGAGCTGATATCAGTGTCTGAGTTACCCTGCTGGGGGGGATGTTACCCCAACTCAATGCCTTTTTTGGGTGAGACCAAAGCCTCTGGCCCAGCAGGACAGGGTTTTGGGGCGCCCCAGAGAGCAGGAAGGCCGGCTCAGTGGCATGATCAGCACACCAGGTGTCAGTCTCAAGGGGATCTCTGTGATCCAACCAGTCACACGCTGGTCACCAGAAGTGAGTCGGATTTGAATAAAGACACCAGAGCCAAATGACTGTCATTTAATTTTTAACTTTTTTTTTTAAAGATGACTTCCCATTTACATTAAGACAGTTCTAACAAATTCATTCCTTGTTCACAAAAAAGAAATTATATTAAATAATTTCTGCCAATAAATAACATTTTCACCATTTTTCTTTAAACATAACTAAAAAAAGCAAGAAAAAAGGAGGCAGTCTCCAGGCAATGGGCATATGCTCCTTCGGCGTCGAGAACCTAAGTCATCCTCATCATACCCAACACGTGTTCTTAGGGGCTTTGCGGTCCTTTGTGTCTGAAGCAGACAAGCCTCTGAGCTGCTCCGTTACAAGAATCTAGCTAGGGAAGATTTACCCGAGTGTCGTGATGTGCCAAGAAAGGCCCTTAAAAATAGGTGTGCGGGATGGCACCACAGTAAAAGGTTCTCCCAAAACAAGGCGAATGCACCTTTGTTCCCAATGCTAAAATACCCCATTGCTGACTCCCTCCTTGTTACATGCACCTTGCTATAACATGCAAAAATAAGACAGGCTGCTAGGGACAGCCTTCTGGAGAAAGGAGTGCAGTGGCACTGCCCTTAATAGTCTGGCATTCCATGGACTGATTGTACTCCTTGGCTTTTATGTTTCTTTTTTTTGTTGTTTTTTTGTTTTGTTTTTTGCAAAGTCTCATTTGTCAAGCTTTTGCTTGCTGGCAAGAGGGGATGGAAACAGAGGACAAATGGAGCTCCAGGATGAGGCCTCTTCAGACATGCATAGTTCCAAGGCAGAACCAGCGCTGGGGTTCTGGGAGATGGGATGGGGAGCTGGAAGAGGAGAAACTACTTCACGTCTCTGCTGTACTTTTGTGCTGGAAGCTAGGGGAATATTTAAGCCCCTCCCACTCTGACATGGCTTTGAAGGCCACTGTTACAGTGGAGACAGGCAGGAGGCGGAGCCCCTCTTGCACCAAGCACTGTGGTGTGGTGTGATGCTGTGCTGTGCTGGGAATGAGTTCTGCTTTCTTTCCAGAGCTGCCCAGCACACAAAGGCCTGTGCTTTGAGGTATCTCCCCTTCTCCTTCCTTGGTTACAAAGAACAAAAGGGGACTGCGAGGGTTAAATGCTTAGTGCTGAAGGTTGGTTCACATACTGTGTTTACATTTTAAAAGCAAAGTCCTGGCCTCCCCCGCCTCTGACCCCAGGTGGCATCTCCACATGCCCAAGGGAAATGCAGCTGGTGATGGTACATTGCTTCCTCATCCATGCATGGTCACCACCAGTCACACACCGCTATCCATTTCCAGCACCACTCCACGCAACAGGATCTAGTTAACCTCTCAATTTAAGAGGAAAAGCCAGGACAGGGAAGGTTACAAGATGATCATCAATTAAGGGGTAATTAACACCCACTCTCCCCAATCTGTGCTGCTGCTCACCCCCTCACCAGTTAAGAACACTGCATACTGTGCTGAAGAAACAGAGTCCCTGGCACTAACGTTCCCATAGCAACTGGAGACTGTGCTTCGCCTGACAGCATCCTGGCTGCGTGTGCTTGTGTGGGATACGGAATGCATTTCCAGCAGCTCTCAGTTTGATAGAATAAAGGAGGGGAAGACCCAATAGCTCCTGCATGGGGACGCCATGAGTCATCCAGAGAGCTCCTTCCGCCCACTAGCGACTGCTGTCAGAGCCGCTCAGCACTGCTTATTCCAACTGATTGTGACTAATGTGAGAGCAGGGCTCCTCCCTGACTGCAGACAGCCTCACTGACTGACAATTAGTGGATGATTTGGGACTCCTGTTTACCATCCAACAATTAATAAACTTAAAAACAAGTTCTCTGGCACTCACAATAGCGCTAAGTCACAAGTCAAACTGAATTTTGGAAGCCAACTGTTGCCCCCCTCCCTCCCCTTTGTGTCTCCAGATCAGTGGCGGACAGATCATTTTGGCAGGCACACAGTTCCAGTAACTATGGTTTCAAAGCACCATGCTTTGCAACCACCACTTATGCAACGCCACAACAAGCCTCCAGCTTTGGAACAGAAGCTAATCTTTTTCACTGAAGAGGATTGGCCAAGAGGCTCACCACAGAAGCTGGTAGCGTGACCTGCTCAAAAAACCTGCCTGCAGAGTCCATAGACCAGGACAGCCTTTCATGAGCAAAGGCCTTTTCTTTGCACGAAAGCCAACACCAGCAGTCCAGAGTCCGTGAGCAAAGTTTTCATTTTAACTGGGCAGACACAACTTTCAGGGGTGAGCTTCCAAAAGGCAATAAAGAGCAGATACCTTGACAGTGTCCTCTCCTCCTATCCTTTCTATGTACAGGAGAGCTCCCATCTAGACAACCGCCTCCCATTTATTTATGACCCTTAAGGAGGCACAAATGTATCTCCTTCAGGTGGTGCCTGTCACATGGCTCTTGCAGCAGAGATGCTGCTCAGAGAATCTCTCAGCCAGGTCAGAGTGTGTGTATTACCCAGCAGGAGTGCGCACCACATAACCTGCAATGTTTTAAAGGAAGATGCAATGGTTAGGAGGGATAACAAGAGGGACCCCTTGCCCCGATGGAGAAAAACAGACAAGTCTTCCAAAAACATTCACTTTCACAAAGTGACATTAGAAGTGACAATCCTGTGAGGCAGCTGCCTTCCTCTGGGACTGGAATCAAATGTCCACACCATGAAGTGAAGACAGTAACATCAAGGAGCTTCAAGAGAAAACAAAGAACAGGCTGGGTGGAGGGGCAATACCCTTCACCAAGAGGGCTGAGTTTAACCCTGCTTCTGGGTGGCACTAGGGACGTTGTACATTTGTTAAATTGGGAAGTGGCATGAAAGGGAGCCAGGGGTTAGCACTTGAGTGATGCTGCTTTAATGCAATGTAATAAGCAGGAGGGGATTCAGCTAAAATGACCAATCAGGGAAGGCAGAAAAAGAGGTGTTTTTATTTCTTAAATATCAGGTTTGGATTTTTCAAGGTCGGTTTCAAAACTGGATTCAGCTAATGTCTGCGAAAGGAAATGGACCAGACTGGGTACTTTGCTTATTTAGATTCCAACGCTTGACAATGGAGAGGCCATTCTTTTCACATCCCCATGAGCGTATTTACAGCAGAAACCCACCGTCCTCTAAAGAGATCTCCTTTCCCCCAACTCACTGAGAGATCCTAGACAAAGACTTCTAGAATCTCTAGCTCAGCTCCACTGAGGTCTCCAAGCTACTTTCCTTCTCTGTTATCCTCCTCAGTACACCTGAAGGACACAGAGGTTTCCAAAAATGTACGTGTTTCACCAAACTCTGCTCTGACCATGCAACAGCTATTTACGGAAAGGAAGCAACGATCAGTATAGCTCACCAATCTGTCCCCACTGTCATCCATCAGCTCACCTGGTGCCACTTATCTGTGGCCAGGTCCATTACTCCCTCCTTCAAATGGAATCGCTGACATTCCCTGGCTGGTTCGTCGTCTTTTATAGGGCAGATATATACCTCTGCTGGCCACGAGGTTCTTAATGGTCTAATCCCTTAAACCTAGTGCGTGGGTGGGTGGGGGTGGTGTGTGTGTGGGGGGCGTATTCTGGTTGCTACTGTGGCAATACCAACACCAGGGGCCTGTCAAGACACAGTTAGTGCACAGCAAGCTGTAAATCCTAGTGCACTAACTGGCTATATACACCTTGCTATCATGCACTAAATGTTACCTAGCGTGCACTGATCTACTTCTGTTTCAGTGCACAGTTAAATCAAAATGCATGGTGTTCCGTAAAGAACTCTTAGATGCACTTCGAGTGTAGGCTGTACTGATGGAACAGTGCAAATGGCTTGCTTCATGCACAGTCTAAAAACCTGAAGTTGTAGAAAGAATAGAAAAGCTCTCCCACACCCACCTTCCAGGTCATTCGGAGAGGTTTTGTGTTCTATTGGAATCCTCAAGACAAATGTGCGAGTATTGGAAAATTCACACCCTTGTCCCCAAGAGATAATCCAAGATCCCAGCTGGAATCTGAACTATCCAATTTATCACTACCTAGGATGAAGTCTTCCCAAAAAGAGATGGATGGGTCTGAGCCACTCACACCAAGCAGCACACCACCTTCCACAAACCAATTGTGAAAGCTGCCGACGCAGCTAGGCAATAAAAGCTAAAGAAAACAACAGCGAACTCGGGGAAGACAGTTGTGAAAACGTGTTTTAAAATTAAAGATGCTGCTTTCGAAAGCAGAGGCTACTGGAAACCTGTACCCAAGTCAAAGATCAAAAGGTGCCTGGGACTCTGGGTGAGTTTTGTTTTTAATCCTCAGAGGTCCCCCTGCTGTGGGGGAGAGACCAGCTGTACAGCACAACATTTTCATATATGCACTAGCAATTAGATTGGTTTCTAAATTAAAAAAGATGGACTTTTTATATACTGAACATAAATTAAAAAAATTACAAAATGGTCACCCTTCTTACAGAATGGATGCAAACTGGATTATGAACGTGCCTCCAGGTTAAGTTTATTTCTTTCCCATCCCTATCCCACCCCAATAATAAATAAATAAAATTCATTAAGTTTTGGATCCTTTAGTGGTGCAGATTGGGCATTAGAACCATTACTAAGCTTTCTTCCCTGTGCCGTTCTTTTCCGCAGAGTTTGTTGAGGTTACCAAGTTCACCGGCCCGTCTGGGTGCACTGAATCTTTGCGCGGCGGCATGCGTTCGTTAATGCGGTCCAACCCTCTGGCTTCTTCGAAGCTGCGAATCTTGTGCTGTGGTGAAAATCCACGGATGGCTAGAGCAAGGAGGGCAAAGAAGAAAGTCAGTCTGCCCAATAGCATCTGGAAGAAGAGCCTATCAGCACACACAATACTACAGAACCGAGACTCGTGGCTACAAAGCACATGTCTGGTTAAGTAAAAGTAAGCAATAGATCTGTGTAGAATTTGTCATCTCCTGAACGGCAAAGTGACACTGGTGACATGCAGAGTTTCATTAAATCAATTTCTAGGGCCCAGTTCAATTGACTCAGCAGCACCAACAGTTTATCTGTGCAATTTTCATCCATGATTTCCCTTGCAATACTGTTTAGCGGGAGCAACTAATAGGCCAGACATGTGCCCTGTATTCTGAAGAGTTAATGCAGTGAAACAGCAGCACACTGTCAAAGCTGAAAAACATAATACTAAAAAAAGTGAGGACAAATCAGCAAAGGGTGTTTTACTTCAACACACAAAAACCACGCACTACTACACCACAAACAGGAGAAAGAGCTAATCCTTGGATCAGAAAAGAAGCATTTTGTCTTGCATGACCAGGAGCTAAACACACAGGACAGAGACCCACTGCAGATGCGTAAGCCTTTGTTTCTACTCAACCTTGCAGTAATTTAAGTTCCTTGCAGGGATCGCCCTACACAATGCATTTAGCTGGTTTGTTTTAAAATAGATTTAAGTAAAAGATTTTGCTCCAAGTGTTTTTAAAGATTAAATTCTTTCAGATATTAGTATCTCCATAGACTGTGGGTTCACCCAATACAAATGCACTGAAACTGCAAAAGAGAATACAAGTTTCCAGAGCAGTAAATTCATGTATGTGGTATTACTATCTTAACTGCAGAGAGGGTACTGCCTCGCCACACTGAAGGGAAGGCAAAGGTTGGGATCAGATCTTAAGGAACAGCAATCAAGTATTTCCTGTATAATTCTGGCCAACTGCTCTTGCAGCCTTCAGAAACACACTGTGAAGGACCTGACTGAGGAATAAGCCATCAAGTGATGAAGTTACAGGAATCACCACTAGGATCTTGAGGAGACACCAGAATTCTCAATCTGCTAAAAGAGCCCAGTCTGTTGAAATTAAACATCCCAGCTCATCTCTGTGACACCAAGGCTGAGACAGAGCTGAAGTAACCGCATATTGTATAATTTTTCCAGAAGGGGCCAATCCTCCCCGATTTCTGGTGATGCAAGAGTAAAACGCTTTCATACTGCTGATAAAGCTCCTTAAAATTAGCAGACAGACATGATTGAGTCTCTCGCAGGAACCAGCCATACCTTCCCGTGCCTCTACCGCTTCTACTGTGGCTGTAATACAGGAGGAACAGTGGCATGCAAAAATGAAGACAGAAAAGAGTGAGTGAACTAACATTATTGCTGCCATTAGAGACACACAATCCTCCCGCCCCAGTAGGTAGGATCATGATGAAGATCAGCCGGCAGAGGAGGACTGACAGGAGTTAGAGATGGAAGGGCTGCAGGGGATTTCACTCAGCTGGTATCTCCAGCTGAGGATTCAAGCTGTTTGGGAGCCTCCCCTTCCTCCTAGTGGCATGAAGTTCACCATCAATGTCAAACTGCTGAGTCCAACCAAGAACCGGGCTGGCCTTTTAGCACCTCCTAGGCCAGGCACACATGACCCCATGACGGCCATGGGGCTGGCATCTCTTGGACTGAACCATGCCACTCTTCCACTGGTTTTCCAAGCAGACATTTAATGGGCACCTCGGGATGCTTTGGCAAGGAGACTACCATGGATGGATCTCATTACCGCATGGAGACTGTAGCACACAAACCTACCTGTCGCAGAAGTGCCCTTGTCCTTTAAATAAAAAACTGACTTTAACCAACAGGCCGGCGTTTGGAGGGAGGGGAAAGCAAGGGGGGTTGGCTCCTTTTCTGGGAGCAGTGTGCTCAGCAGCACAGTAACCAGGCTGCTCAGCTCCCAGTGAAAAGGAGAACACAATAAAGGCAGAGATTGCAAGCCTACTTGGCTTCAACTCCTCCCACAAAAGGTTACTAAGCAACAGGACCCCTTAAGGTTTCAGCAACGTCAGGTCTCCCTCCACCCCAGCACTGCTACAATTGTCAATCTGCTTGTGATAGTAAACCCGTCAGAGCACCTGGTAGTGGGGAAACTCATTGGAGGGACCCTGATTGGAATCTACTTGCCCCTAGGCTCGAGTGCACCTGAGGCTATTAAATCCTTGTGTCACAATGCACAGGCCACGTGTTCAGGCTTCCAAACGGAGGGCGAGGAATGGGTAGCATTGCGGGTTAATATTGTAGCTGAGTTGAGCATGTCTAGTCGACTCTTGTTAATTTCATGCTAGTAAAGATCTGCAGAAGGCTCAGAGAAGGGGAGCAAGCCAATGCCCAGCATCCCTGCCCTGACAACAAGGGCCCAGGGGAACGCAATACAAGAGCTCGGCGCAGCCATTAGCTGGGGCATGCAGGACTGCACAGAGGGGCTCCTGGAGTGCCAGTCAGTGCACATTCCAAACATATAGGGAGCAGGGAGGTGGCATGAAGTTAGGAGTGGAGAAGAGGGACAAGGACTGACCAGGAGAGACATGCAGGGGAGGGCATAAGCAGTAGGGTGGAGCTTAGCAGCTGAGTGGGGAGGTGCAGGCAGCAAGGGAGTTATGGATTGCCTTGAAGGGCAGAAGCTCAGACTTCATACAGAAGAGAAGTCAGACTAAACATATAGGGAGCAGGGAGGTGGCATGAAGTTAGGAGTGGAGAAGAGGGACAAGGACTGACCAGGAGAGACATGCAGGGGAGGGCATAAGCAGTAGGGTGGAGCTTAGCAGCTGAGTGGGGAGGTGCAGGCAGCAAGGGAGTTATGGATTGCCTTGAAGGGCAGAAGCTCAGACTTCATACAGAAGAGAAGTCAGACTGAAATGTAACTGATCTTCCATCTCTCTTACTACTGTGATCAAACCACAAAGCTTACTATGAAGCTATGCAAAACTAAATTCCTTCACTGGTAGATCTTGGAGCCTCTGACAGGGGATCCTGACTGGTTTGGCCAGGAGGCTGTCAAGTGCCTGCACTTCAGCTGCCCCTCCCCCTACTGCTGTGCATCTCCTGCCCCTTGCTTTGGAGCTGCCACCCCCAGGAGCCTCCTGCTTGCTGTGTAGGGCAGGGAAGGGAGAATAAGGTGTCCCCTAATGTCAAGGTGCCCACTCTCCCACCCTGTATCCTATCTCCACAGAGCAGGGCGGCGGCGGGGGGTTGGGTGGGGGAGGAAGAGTTTTCTGGCTGCTTTTGGGGGTGGTGCAGGGCCAGGGCAGGGGTCAGCCTGCCTTAGCCCCACCACCCAGGAGCCACCTGAGGTAAGCAGTGCCCAGATGGAGCTCACATCCTGAAACCCTACGCCAGTCATGAACCCCTTCCTACACCCCAGGTCCTGCTCTAGCCCCAAGCACCCCTGCATCCAAACACCCTCCCAGAACCTGCACCTAGAACCCGCTCTGCACCCAAACTACCTGCCCTAAGCTAATCGTAGAGCCCCTCTCACACTCCAGAGCCTATACCCAACCTGCTGCCCCTGCCTGGTGAAAGCGAGGGAGGATGGGGAAGGGATGGAGTGAGCAGGGGCGGGGCCTTGGAGAAGGGTCACAAAGGAGGCGGGGCAAGGGGATTGGGTTTGAGGTAGTTCTTGGATTGCACTTAAATTCAGAAAGCGATCTCATGCTTAAAAAGGCTGGAGACCCCTGGCCTAGAACAACAGCTATAAGTGTCCTAAGCTTGTTGGCACCTCTTCAATCTATTACATGCATCACCCTTCAAACTAGAGCTCCATCAACAATGTTACATGATAGGCCTGGCTCTAGAGTATTCTGTATCCCACGCTCGTCAGAACACACTCAAGGTGAACATCTGCCTTCTCATCTACTGACTTTCTATTCTCATGTTGGTAGCTTAATCAGAAATCAAGTTGGACAGAGCTTAAAGTAAACTTGCACATCTCTTTGAACAAAGGAAACCTAGATGCCAAATTCTTCAAACCCAATAGGATCCCAGAGCAATTCTCCTCTCACACATACATGAAATATTTAATCGAAGACACACAGTCCCAGAACAAACCTCTCTCTGAGCCATCAGGAAACCAATGCTGATAGGAAGGGAAAGCAGGCCAGTGTATGCCTGTACTCAAGGGCTGGCAGCAGGAAAGGATTAAAACACTAGATTACAGGATTCCCTCTGGGGACACGTTACAATGAGAACTCACTCCCCTGACCACCAGCCAATCTCCACTCCCTGTGGTCTGGAACACTCTGCTTGGAGGAGGTTTGAGCACTACTGCGCTCAGAATGTTAATATAATTTGATCGGTGGGAAGCCTAGGTGGGGAGTAACAAGAATACTTGCCAAAAATACACAAAGTAACAAGACTGCAGAAAAGCTACTCAAACCCAATGTACCACGTCCCTGGGACTGAACACTAAAAACAAACCTGAGAGACTTAGCTTATTGCTAAGTAAAAATACAAGTTTCTCTCTCCTAGAATGATACTATTAGGATTGGAAACAAAGGGATTTGGTTTGATAAAAACCAGACATTTACCATTCGATCCACAGACAGGGTTACAAAGCAGCAGCAGAGTAGCTGAAGCAGGAAATGCCCTGGAGCAATGTTTGAAAGGGGGGGAGGAAGGAGAAGCAAGGGGGGGGAATCTTAAGAGCTGTTATAACAATGGATGATAAACATGCTTGAAGCTTGGCGCAGTCTCAATCTTTGCTACCATTACTGACCATGAGATGACACTGGCATCTTAGAAAGGACTCCTGCAACTCCATTTGCAACAGTTTATAGCAGGGTTTCTCAACCTGTCTCCCTATGAACCCACAAAATGGCCCTCCCGGGAATCCTTTGCTCCCAATCCCACAATGCTGCAGGGGAGGAACTGTGGGAACTGGCACAATAATTTACGGAGGCCCCTGAGAGCCAGATATTCCCATGCCAGCTCTGCTTCAGCAGAACACCAGGTACAGCGAATAAAGAATCCTGACTCCTCCAAACAAGTGCTGGCGGCTCCCCCGGGGTCCCAAGCCGCAGGCTGAGAAGCACCCATGCACACGAGTCACTGGAGTGTGACACAGTGTGTATGGAGCTCACAGAAAGGGTTATTTCTCACGTACTCACCAGTCTGTAGAGTCTGCTTTCCCCCTGAGAGGACTCCCAGAGGCAGCGTACCTGTGGGAGTCAGGCCCTTGAGAGTCAGCACGCTCTCACTCTCCTCTCTGAAAAAAGGATGCAGAAAGATGAATTACTCCTACCAAGGCCAGCATTTAGGCAAGAGTGTTACAGCCAGAGGCATGCTCAATGACGTGTTCCTTCCAGAGGGGAAGGCTACCTTTGGGTAACCTGCAAGCCTACATCTGTACCATCTTGGCTGTAAACTCCTGCAGGCCAGCCAAACAGCTTACGCTGGATGTCTTTTTCCACCAGGAAATTGAATACACCCTTGTAGATGCTCTATTTGCTAGGACGGCATGCAGCCAAGCCAACAGTAAGAGAAGTACTTCCCCAATATTTCCTTGTTTACATGAAATGCATCTCTGCTCTGAAGGGATTTCCACTCCAGATCTAATTATCTCCGTCAATGAGGATGCCAGCTTCAACGGGATGGTTTTGCAGTTCCCAAACACGACTGAACACCCGCTTTGCAGAACTTCACATGGATGGGTGTAACATTCCCAAACCTAGACCACCTTTTAATATAGTTCTGCAGTCTCTCAGCTGGATTCCTGCCTGCATACTACTACATTCACTCAGACAGAGCAGCAACCCCCAGTACCCAGATCACATGTGAAGCTCAGACACAAACACTTTCAAGTTGACTTCTTACCGGAGAACTGAAAAAACACGAGCCATCTTCCCAATGGCTCTGATCTTATTCCTGATGATCTCCTTGCGGACTGTTGTGCCTCCTTTGGTAGAAAAAAAACTGTTTAAGGATTTCCTGCCCCCCTTTTAAAGCCACAGGTAATGTCGGTCTGAAGCGCCTGGCTCTAGGAAAGAGCAATCATGGATTCCAAGTTCATTGCTATATTCGTTAGAAAACAGTCTCTTAGAAGGGGGGGTAAGAGTGGGAGTGAGGCTGGTGAGACTGAAAAAATGACACAGAATAAAAGTCTAAGGAAAGAATAGCCACCAAAACGGCAGCTCCCAGTTCCTGCTTGAAGCACCAGATCTTTATTTAACAGGTCAGATCGTACTGCACAGAATGGAACACAAACGACTCAGTCGCAGACAGTTTGGTACGGCAGAATACTGACACATCTGACTACTGACGAACACCTAGGAATGCTGAGCTGTGCTTGCAGAAGGGAGAGTGGTCACACAAGCATCACCTCTGGCACACGCACACAGTGAATGGCTGGCAGGAGCCTTGCATCTCTGCTTTGACCCTCACTCAAACACACAGTGAGGTAAGTGTGCACCTTTTTAACAGCACACACTGGGAGACAAGCATGGGAGGTGACTGATGATAAAATCACATGAGAAACATCTCCTCTCAGCTGAGACTCTTCAAATGGCACTATCACACACCAGACAAGAAAAAGCCAAACTGGAGATCTAACATGCACCAATGGTTCAGCCATGCACTAGGTGGCTGCATTTGGAGTTTAAATAGAAATGTGACCCCATCTCTCAGGTTCCTGGAGGAACACAGCAGGGTTAAAAAAACCACACAGCGCTCATGTTAAAACTGAAAGGGGAATGGAGAGACTGCCCAGCTATTCAAATTCAATCCAAGGAACCTGGTGGCACAGGCAGTGAGAATTAAGCTTGTAGCAAATTCTAGCTGGGTACCTTTCTGATAGCTTGAAATGTAGTGCTCTTCAGGGAGAGGAGACACCAAGAAACAAGGAGATAAAGACATAGAAGAAAAAAAATTTAATTTTCATGGGAGGGAGAGGGGAAAAAAAGCAAATGAAATGCAGAGGGAGAAGCGGGTTAAAGTCTTGACCTGTTGATAGAAGCGGCACTGTGTCATATGATACCTCTCTTACCACTTCCATGCCGCATTTATTTTATTTTCTCTCAAAACTCTTCCACTCATCAAAACGTGCATAATACTCAACCAGCATTCACAGCCTCTTTCACACTTCGTCACTTCAAAATCACTAACCAGTACCAAATAACCAACTGCTATTTCTGGAGCTAGTATGAAAAGGAAGGGCAGATGGATGGGCCTAGTGCTTGAGTGTTAAAGTTTAGAACTAGCAGGGCAGAGTAGCAGCAGAAAAACTGTCTGCACCAGTAAATTGGATAATAATGTTTGAGTCAGAAAAAATATCTTGGGGATAATCCCATGCCCCGGTAATGCCAAGAAACCTTTCTTCAGAATCTGTAGTGAGGAGTTCACTGCCACAAATAAGTACTGCACCATGCACTCCATTGTCACTGGATTGCAAGGAGACAAAGTTCAGCATCTAATTCTGAAGTGCATGTCGAAGCCTTTTGAATTAGCTTTAAATCACCCCTCAAGCCCACTGTTAACAGCCCAACTTGTAATAAAAGTTGTTACCTTCCAAAGTCTCATCACCATCTGAAATCAACTCATCATCAGAGCATATGTTGAGGATGTTAACCAGCATCTCTGTGACTGCAAGAAGTAGTGACAAATAGATAGGATGATTAGAGGAGCGGGCGCTCACACTGCTGAAGGGGAGGGTATTTGAGAGGGTGAGATGTGCTGAACAAATGATATCAGCCATTTACACATCTGAAGAGGGAGCCTAGGGATATTTCATAGCTACATTCTGCAGCATCTTTCATTGCAGAGGATCCCAGGACACATTTGATTAGATACCAGAGCTCCTCTGATACATCCAGTACAATCTGAATAGTGCCCAGAATGCTACCTCACTGCATGGGAACTGGTCCAGGAATGGGGTATCCACAGTGCTCATGCCAAAGAGATTGGGTCTCAGTTAAGGTCCCTTCCCAGTCCCCCTCAATTTTCTCCACCCCACAAAAACTGCATAATACTCCATCTGTTTCAGAGAATGTCGACTCTGCTGAGATTTCAACCACTGGTTCTGCAGAGTAAACATTTGGGACCTTTAAGCTATCTACCTAAACCCTAAAGCCCTGAATTAGAATCTAGACTGGTTGGGAGAGGACAAGGCTCCTTTGTTAAGAAGTGCAAATTCTGGCAAAATCGGGTTTTTTTAGGCAGGTGTACCTTATTAAAACTGAAATCAAAGCCTCCCCCCCCTCCTAACTGTGGAGAATGATCTTTCTCTCCCCTCTTTTCTGACAGGCCACACATCCATGAGATATTTACTGCTTTCTTTGTGTACCATGCAAAATGTCAGCACAGTTGGGGGAAATCACTTAATAAGGGCTGGTTCATCAACACAAAAATATTGTGAAAACAAGGACCATTTTATTTAACTTCTTGGTAATGGCAAAGCAGACTTTTCCCCCCTCCATACATTTAAAATCTAAGGAACTGTAGCCATCAAAGTTCTACTACTGTACAACAGTATTGCCTGCATTATTGCCAATGCCATTTTACCCTGTCAAGCTGCACACGCATTTAAAACTTCCTAGATAAAATCTTATTTCATATTTATAGACATTTAAGTAACCCTCAGGGGTTTTTAATACGTACAGTGCTATGATCCGTCACTGTTTAGGCCAAACAAATCTAAATGCTGTATTTGTCTTACCCTTTTCCCCTACAAATGGTAAGGACCATGTGAAGACATCCATGAAATTTGGAAGCCAGTAGGGGTGTGGAGAACAGTTGAACTGTCTGATGTTCATGACATTGTTTTCATATTTCAGAACAGCAGCTAAAAAGAATAGAGTGAGAGAATGGGTGTATGCAGGCACTGTAAGCTCTGAGGCACAGACTGTTTCCCTCCAGGTTCATATAGCACTGAGCATGGCATCAGTGATCAAACAATGACAGCTAGCTCAATTTGTGCAGTGCCAAACCACCACTTATCTAGAATTAAGAGGCTTAAGTGGTATTTTCAGTTTATGAACTACAGGGCATGCAACCAGCAGAAGTTTTAAACATTTCACAATAGCTCATTTTCCAAATAGCTCCTCATATAAGACGACTATAAAGAAAAGTACGCTCTGTTCAAAAGCCTCAAATAGTCACCTCAAAGAAACCATGAACTAGAAACTCTTGGCTCCTTAGTCAAGGTAAGAAAGTCTCCCCCACTCCTTATTTGGTATCAGATGGGTGAAAGTTAATGAACATGGACAGAAATTGCATATTACAGTGGCAGTGTCAGTTGCCATTACCAGCATGTATGTCATTCCCAGGGGCTTATAATGTTACAGGTAAACTGTGACAACACACACACCATCATCTTAGAAGTAGGGATGTTAAATAGCAGGCAATCAGCTAATTGAATAGTCGATGGACTTTCCATCAACTCTTGATTAGTTGATCAGGCAGGAAACTGCTCCCAGCTCAGGAGCTAACCCCAGTGCGGCTCTGACTTTTAAATATATTAAAAGCTGTCAGGCTCTTAATATGTTTAAAAAGTAGAGGTGCAGCATCTGGGACCAGGCACAAGCTGGGAATAAGCTGATTCTTGGCTTGCACAAGTTCCCCGCTACATCTTTGCCTCTTTTGCCCACCCCCCCAAGATAGTGCTAGGGGATCCAACAACAGCTCCTGCTCCCCCCTCTTGCTGCCTCTCTTTGTTAGAGACAGCAAGGGAGGAGGGGGAGAAAAGCAACTAGCTGAGTCACTACTCAACTACCTGATAAACATATGCTTATTAGGTAGTCGAATAGTCACTTACATCCCTACTTCACTTCAATAATCAGTTAAAGCCAGGTAAACCATTCTGAATCAGAGTGGGAAAGAAAGCTCTTATTTTAAGTTTGCTACTTAGTCCAGTTTAGACTGAGAAAAAAGATTTAGCTTTCAGTTTTAGAAAAAGATTTGCAGTCTGCTTCTAATTTCCCAGCAATGTTCCTTTTCCCAATGCATGTTAATATTCGTTTAAGGGCCCCTGATGACACGGTACAAGATGGCATTCCCACAGATATCAGAATCAGAGCTGAAAGCCTATTAATTACTCTTGGCCAAGTGGTTTCAGATTGCACCCTGTACAGCATACACTACAGCTCTGTCCAGAGTAAGTGACTGAAACCAACTCCTCCTCAAGACTATTCCTCTGTCCTACAGACCGGGACCTTAGGAAAGAGTTCTGCGCTCAGCATAAATTTTACCTTTGCTCATTTTCATCTTATTATTTGTATTTATAACTACCATGGACCACTCTAAACAATTACTCTGTCTTTTGTGTTTACATATGTCTACTGGTTTGGGCTGCAATGTGTCCTGTGGACCCACAGACCTGATGATGTCAATGAAACGGCACATGACTTCAGTAGCAATGCCACAACTTGCTGCCAATTTGAATGCAGCTGCCATACTAATCGCACAGCTACTCTTCATTCAGTACCATCGTCCAAAAAAGGAAAATAATGTGATGCTGAAGTATCTATGTTCAACTGACTGAAGGAAAGAAATTCAGAACCAAAGCTACTAACTCCATGGTTGATTTATCCCTTTGAGCACTGGTACTGCAACACACGGGTTAGGATGGAGCAAGTCACACAGAGCGGCCATCTTCACTGCGAGTTTACAGGCTTTTAACACTTAATGAAGCTTTTTGGGATTCAACACTAGCTTAGCCCAGGCACATACCATATTGAAGGTAAGATTTTTTTTTAAGCCTTTCATCAGCATAACTGAAATAAGACCATTGTGTCAGGAGAGAAAGCAGGTAGTACAAACTCCAGAGATCTTGAGCCGTTCCACCTCCTTCCCCAGCTGCACGTTCCCAGACACCAACCACCCCCTTAAAGCTGAGAAGCATGTGTGGGGGAGTAGAATCGTATCAGCAGGTCAGGCCAGCCTTGAAGAAGAGGGGAGCAACACAGCAGCTATCATGATGCAGTGGGCTCGCTGGCTAGCATGTTTTGGCTCACAAGCTGTGTGTGCACCTAGGGAAAGGGAAGAGGTTTCATTCAAAGAAGGATGGAGTGAGCTGGAGCTACTGCAGACAAAACAGAAGGAGGAAGTTGGGGAGGGATTTCCTAAGGATTAATAACAAAACCAGCACTGGCCTCCAAAACAACTGCAGAGATGTGGCTTCGGCAGCCTTACCCTTGTTGTTATACACATCTAGGTAATTTGGTGCAGAGAAGATTGTGATTAGCGATGGAAAGCCTGTTGTCTGGCTCTTCCTGTACATTCGGTACCTGGAAGTCAGGGCATGATGTTAGCATTCTGACCTTGCTAAGGGTAGAAAAACTGAACATTTATTCTTGCACAGTCCTACCCCTGCAGCACTTACCCGGCATCCTGGGCTTCGTGAGCTCGGATTACTGATAACAAACTATTGTTTTGCAAAAATTCACAGACGGCAGGGTAACTAAAAAGAAGAGTTTTAAATACATTAGTAGGCAGCAAAGACAAAAACCCTCCTTCCTCTGGGGAGGCAGGAAAAACTAGAACAAAGTGTTAATAGCCTCATAAGCTTTGCAATTAAGCTTTAAGTGATAGCACTGCACATACCTGTGGGTTTATTTCAGATGTGCTAGGATCTTCGAATAGGTCTACCCTGCAGCTGGGAGTGAGTCCCCCCGATAGACTTGTGCCTGCATGGCTCAAGCTAGTGTGTTAAAAATAGCAGTGTGGATGTTACTGTACCAGCAGAGGCTTGCACTAGTCGCTGAGGTTGAACTCACCTGATCCTCTGGCCTCGAGCTTACGTGGCTAGCACAAACATCAAGCCAGTGCAACAGCAACATTTCCAGTTCTATTTTTAGCATGCTAGCTTGAGCCCTGCAATCACAAGTCTGTCTACCCAGGCTGGGAGGCTCAGTCCCACTCTTCAAAGCCAATGAAAGCTGCAAACACTCAGTACCTCTCAAATAAGGCCACAGCCATGTACAGTGCCATCTTTTAAAAATTAATCACAAAGCACATTGGAAACAGTCAGTCAGTCTAGATTCCTGTGCTAAATACCAACCAGCCTGGCTACAAGGAGTCAATCAGTATCGTAAACTATCTTTTACATTTATTTTTCCTTCTGAAAGCCCCTTGATGCCTTCTGGTCCCCCTGAAAGTCTCTCCAAAAGCATCAAAACAGATACCAGGAGTCTCATTACAACCTTAGATACTTGTGATTTCATCAGCTGATGCATCCTAGAAAAGTTTGAGGGAGTCATGTACCACCCAAGATGATTTCCCATGGGGAAAAGCTACTATACAGCAAGTTCAGACAACCCAAGAACCTGGTAAATAGGGGCATTTAACACAATAATTGGATTTCACTCCATCTCTGCATTAGCTTTTAAACATTACACAGGGCAAGTTAGAAGCCCTAGATCATCTGAGCCCCACTGAATCCCTGCTTACCTGTAGAAATAAGAGCAGCCTCGAACAGTGTTGTGAGTGAAATGCTCTAACGTCTTCTCATTGCCGTAATCCTCTGATGGATCAGACCAGAGCAGGTCACACATTGGACCAAAGGCTGGAGGCTCTTTAAACCTGTCTAACTAGAAGGTGCACACAAAGTGAGGACAATTGTCGAGGTCAAGTGGCTTTGTAACCCAGGGGTACATGCCCCTATACAGAAAAGCTCTGGAGACAGGTTAGTTTGAACAAATTAGGATTAGAGCTCTGCACACTTCTTAAGCAGACTCAGCTGTGGTCTCAGTAACAGACCTGTGCTTCTTCCCTTCCCTTTTCCCAACTTCTGGGAAGCAAGGTATGAGTGACAGTCAGTCTAGCTTTCTGCCCAGCCTGCTTTTCCCCCTCCCTCCACACATTCAGAAGAGATCTTCACTGTGGAAGAACTAGCATATGCTATTTATCTGACTTTAAGCTCCTTGGTCTAATCACTACAAAATGTTGTCTACACTCAAAGCGTCTACAGAAATTCAATGCACTCAGCAGCAAGGATGCTATTAGCTAGTTAAATAATATCAGAAAAAGTAAATTCTGTGCAATAAAACACCACTGCAAATATAAAACCAGCCTAAAGACCTTTAAATTAGCTTAGTATTTTGCTGACTGAAGGTCCAACTTTGGGACAATTTGTCAGGCCCTTGCAACCAAGTAGCTCTGGCTGCTTGAGAGAATAAAGGATGAAGTGGGGGAGAGGAAGAAAAGTGTGAGAGCCATTTCCCTCAAGCACTCTAAGTAGCTTTAGCTGTGCTGCAAAAAGTACAGACCGTGGTGCTATCGGAAATAGTGGAAAAAATGGAGGAATAGCAAATGTACAAAGCATGTTTTTCAACAAACTACTTCTATACAGCAGCCACCTGTGGGCTGCAAAGACCATTAACTCATGCTCAGAATGCTCCATAATAAGGACCAAGGAGCTATAATGTCCATACAATAGAGGGGTCTTTGGTTTTTAACATATTGTCCAAAAGATCCATGCACACTGAATGGCTTAGAACTCAATTTCTTTACCTCAAAGTTAAAAAGCTGAATGGTT